ATCCCTCTCCGGCAACACGAGGAAAGAGAAGTGGATGAAGACATCACACTTGATGCTTGAAGGGTTGCCATGTTTACGTCCTCGAGTCTCTTTGAGGTTTTGTTGTGGCAATTAAATTAGTTGATCTATGAAAGGGTATTCAAAACTCGGAAGGATGATCAGGTTGTGATGATGGATTTATGCTTTGATGAGTGATTATATGTGGTTGTTTCATGGTCTATATATAGAGGAAGGGATTGGTGTACTTATTTCAGATAGAATAAGTCTCTATTGTTCAAGGTTTGAACTGAATGGGTTCGTGGCGTGGACTATTTCTTCTCTATGGGTTTGTGATCCCATGGCCCATCTCACCCTTTATTTTGGCTGCTTTGGAATTTGGGGCTTGAGCAATTCTACAATATTGACATTCGGAATTCAACACACCATTTAACAAATCAATCTTGAAACGGCCAACCAAGCAAAGACGTTGACAACTCAACAGTCGTTATTATTATTGTTTCTTTTTTTGGGAATTAACTTTCTACAGTACACTTAGGGAGACCGAAACATTTTATCTTTTGAATGGAGAGCCCGGGCCCTCTATCTTTAAAGCTTTGTTGATTACGGGAAAAAATTGAGGAGGGTTGAATGAGAGGAAGAACGAACAAATTTTTTCGTATGGTTAAAAAAAAAAGAAAATAGAGAGGAAGTAAGGGGAGATGAAACGTTTCATCTCTCATTTCTTTATATTTTTCTATTCGCCTAATATTGGAAGGAAGATGAGAGAGAAAAAAGTAACAATTAACATTAATATGGATTTTTCTTTTCTAACAATCCTAAAAATTTGATATAGACATAGAATTTTTAGATTTTTAAATAATTAGGGTATATTAGTAAAAAGAAAATAAAAATTATTTTTCCCTCATTCCGACCAAAAAATAAAAAAATAATAAAAAAAATTTGTCACCACATCCATCCCTTTCTACTTTTTATTGTTCATTCCATTCAACCAAAAAAAAAAAGTGAAAAAGGCACATTCTTTCCCTAAGGATGCCCCATCCATCCCTTTTCTTTTCCCTTCCTTCCATTTTTCCATCCTCCAACCAAACGGAACATTGAGATTAAAAAAGTAAAAATTACCACTAAATAAACCAGGCCTGGCATAGAATTGCGGGCATCTGTCTCCAATGATTTTTTTTTCTTTTTATATTATTACCTATAGTTTTTATCAAAATTTTAAAAATGTCCCCACTCAAATTGTAAAAATACCTCCATATTCTTGCCCCACTGATTTTTTTTTATTTATTCAAAAGATAATTATCTTTCTTTTTCACTCTATACACCCCCACATTTATGAAAATTGATTCTCTCACACACTCTTATATTCTTACTCAATTTTTGAAAATATCCACAATATATATATATATATATATATTCTTGCACCCATTGATATTTTTAAGTCCAAAAGAAAGTAAAGTAAATCGGTTCTTTTGTTTCTTCATTTTTAATTGTCTAATGCACATCCATGATATTCTAGGAAGCATGAATATGCGTGGCACACAGCCTGACATATGTTAGACAAGTCACACAAATTAAATTTTTATATTTATTATTTTATTTAAAAAAAATTTGTCCTCAACATTTTCCTTTAGATATTGTTATGTTCGGTAAGAAAAAAAGAAGAGGGGTGGAAGGAAAAAAACAAGGAAGGAAAAAATTTCCTTTGTTCTGTACAAATGGAATGATGACTCATCATTCATCATTCACAAATTTTTATCTGCTCAAATATAGGCGGAAGATAAGAGAGAAGATAAGTGAGTCTATTATAGAAGTTTTAAATTACTACATCACCCTTCACAAATATTTAATTAATTATCTTTCCTTTTATCCTACCGATCAAATTAAATTGTCAATTTTTTTCATTCTTTTTCATTCAACCAAATAAAAAGAGGCAAACATTTAATCCCTTTCTTATCTCCGACATCTTTTTTTTCTCTTTATTCTATTTAATTTTTTTCCTTCTCATTCAACGTGGTGCCGATTTTTTTTTTTTTTTTTTTAATCCGTCGCTGCAGATAATGACCTTAAGGTCCTTGATGGCTATGTGGTCTATTTCAAGACAACTTGCATCGTTTGCATAACCCAGGTTACTCTGTATGTACTATCTAAATGGGACCACATGGCCATGCAACATTACCTTTTTATATTAAATTGCGTTATAAGATTTGATGTTATTTATCTCTAGAGAAAGCATAGCACAAACAAATTTTGACTCACTTGAAACTTTGAAAATTTTGACTCACTTGTCTATTGGGCTGTAGATCATAACACTGGCCCACTATATGTGATAATTGTGGAATATTCATTTCGATCAATTAAATTTTTACTATATGTTTTTTAATCTTAATTGTTACTATATGTTTAGTACACACCTTTGAAAGGTCCTTTAAAGTGAAGTGAGCATATCAGCTACTCATTTTCCTTTCCCTTGTGTTATTCCATAATAAGCAAAATTATTCATGCGAGTCTTTCCATAATTTTCTTTTTCTTGCTTGTATAATCAATAATGTGAATTTTGGAAATACGTGAGTTTAAAGAACCAAAAGATATCATTAATGAGGATCATAAAAATGTTACCAATGTATAATAATGGTCCTCCTTGACCTGACTGGTTTAGTCGGTTTAGTCAGTGTTTGTATGTTGATGTTTTCTAGCCTTGGCTTGTAGTCTTGTTTCCTCTTGGTCAAGATTAAAAAAAAAAAAAAAAAAAAAGTGCAAGATTCCTGTATAATAATTGTCATACATTTTATCACAATCAATCTTAAATGAAAGAGAGAATAATTGATGACTCATCTCTCCCATTGTAAGTCTGTAACTAGAAATAATTAGATTCTTCTTAATAATGCTTCATAATCATCCTTGGTGTGTGTGTTTTTGTGTGTGTGTGTTTGTGCATGTATATCTAATGTTTCTAGTTATAACTTTTTTTTATTTTCTTTTAAATTTTAACTTAGCCCAATGGTATTTGGATGCATGATCTGTCATGGATGAAGACACATGCTGCTACACAAGGCCAGCCCTAAAAGGCCCAACATTCTTTGAGACCCTAGGTGAATGCAATGCCCAAACGTTTGAGAGATCTTAGTAATACAAAATTTGGGGCTCAAATTGAAAGCCCTAGGCAACAATCTTTGAGACCCTGTTGTTACAGATGCTGCATGTAGGGGTGGCGAATTAGGACACGACCCGCCAACACGACTAGAATACAACACAAGATAAGCGGGTTTAGGTTGACCTTAAACGGATTCGGGTCATAAACGGGTTGACACGATTAACCCATTTACTAGAATGTGTCGGGTTAGGATTGAGGGTTAACTTAATATGTTATAATCGTGAATATGACATATTTAATATGTTTGTTTAAACCTAATTATTATAGATAGTTAAGTCATTTCAACATAAACCTTGTCTACGTCTTATGATTTTTCTTCTTATTTTGAATATTTGGGTTAATTGTCACAAATTTTTTCTATTATTTATTATTTGATTAAATATTAAATGTTGTGTTGCCTTTTGAATTGCACTGCATGTTTGTCTGAATGACAATGCTTAGTTATTCATCGGTGAGTAGCTTCACCCTACTCATCTCTTATGTGTTCCAATAACAAAATAACACATCAACTTTAATAACAAAATCAACAAAATAATAAAAAAAAGAAGAAGAAGAAAGTCGAATCGACCCGTTTTAATTGTGTAATCACTCTTTCTCTTTTCTCTCTATCTTTCATCGATTCACAAACCCATGCCCTCTTCTCTCCACTGTTCCTCTTCTTCTTCATCCTTTCTATTTTATTTCTCCTTTTCATCACTTCCCAAACCCACGCCCTCCTCTCTCTCCACTCTTCTTCTTCTTCTCACCTCAATGGGATATCATCAATCAATGAGCGAACATGTTTGATTCGTGTTTGGATTATTTTTCTTTTCCTCTCGTGCTCCATTGAACATCATCACTCAACAGGCGAGCAAGAACTGTGGGTTCAACTAAGTCTTGTAGTGGAGGTATAATTTAATTATTTGCTTTGCACACTTGGGGTTTAATTTTTAGAAAGGGGTTTTCAATCATCATTCAATAAGGGTGTGTTTGGATGGGTTGATTTGGAGGGATCGGGAGAGAAAAGAAAAGAAAGGATAGGGTGAGAGTATGTTTGGGTGGATTAAGTGGAGAGAAAAGAGAGGATTGGAAGAGATGTGGAGGGATAGTTATCCCTCCCTATCCCTCATTTGGTTTCTCTCCCAATTTGAGAAGATAGGGAGACAAAGAATTATGGAGTAAGTGATTAATTGGTAATACAAAAAATACCCTCCACAAATCAATATACAGAAAAGTTATTCCATTTATGTCCCAATTATATAACTATTCTGTTTTGTTCTTGCTTGAGCCTGCTTTTGTTCTTAATTAATTAGGGATAATATCATTTAATAAGAGTGAGTAAGCTAATGATTTTTTTAACTATCATGTTTTGCTCTTGCTTAAGCCTGTTTTTTTTTTTTTTTTTTTTTTTTACCCATTGCATTGAACTAATGGAAACATTCGATTTTGGAAATGGATAACGTGTGAAGTGATTATGAAAGGGTAGTACAGCAATTTAGTCATTATTATTTCTTTTCTTTTCTCTCCCATATCTTATCTAAATAAGAACAACTATCTTTTCTTTTATTTTCTTCCCTATCTATCCAAATACGAATATAAATTATTATTGTCCTTTCTTTTCTTTTCTCTCCTAACTAATAGTATCCTTTATGTTCTTGATGGCCCAAGTTGAGTTTTATAAAAGATGGAAGATTATGTGTGATTGATATCCAATTAAAATGGCTCAATCAGACTTTATTTTTATTTTTATTTTACTTAGTATTAAAGCTGATGTGTTATTTTATTATTGGAACATATAAGGGGTGAATAGGGTAATGCTACTCACTGGTGAGTAGTTAAGCATTGTCTTTGTCCGAATGTGAAATTATCGGTGAGTAGCTAAGCATTGTCTTTGTCTGAATGCGAAGTTAAAACAATGGAATAATTCAATCTTCATAAGATGTCAATACATTGAATGAATGAATCAAATTAGCTACTCTATGGGTTGATTTATAGACATTGTTAACGGTTACATATATGTACAAGAATATGTACTACAAAATTTCTTAGAAGTGTGAAGAAGAACCGGAAGTATCATCAGAACAGCTTGCTTGCAAACTCTTCAGTGACCTCCCCTTTTCTTGAGGAAGCAACCAAATTCCTAAGCTCTGATAAGCTCCTTCCCAGTTGCAAAGCCACCTTCATTTCAAACAATTCCCCGTTCTCTCTCCTCCCAACTTCTCTTTCTGTCAATTTTGATTCAATAGACTCTTCCATGAGCTTAAAGAAACCGGCATTGCTCCGATACATCTCAAACACCATTCCCACTTGACCACCATGCTCTAATGTGTTCACAATGCTTGCCAAAGCACCACCAAAAATACCGAGCACCGCAGCCCATGAACCATGAGAAGGAGATCCCACAAAAGCAGAGCCAATAGCTGCTAGGCCTGTTAATAAAGGGCCAGAAATGGCTAATACTTTGTTAAGTTTCAAGGCTTTCTCACCCAACCTCAAATAGTCTGCTTTGTCATTCCTATTCAAAACCCCAACTATCTCTCTCAATTCCCCTTCCAACTCACCACTCCAACCATTCCTACCAAGCCCTTTTGCTTGTCTTCGTGGCTGTTGTGGCCACCACACTGCAGGCTCAACCGTTGATGGGAATTTGTCGAGCATCGCGCCTAGTAGAGGAAGTGGGTAGGCCTTGTCAAGAGCCAAAACTTTGTCCATAAATTCCTTCACATCACCAATTGTGGGTGTGCCAATGGATATGGTTGTCTGAATTTGACCTTGGAGCTGCTTAAACAACCTTGCAGCGTTTCGCTGTTCTTCAACAAGTTGGGAAGGTTGAATCTTGCTCATGATGGACAGCATCCCAGTAGCTGCCAAATACAACACAGTAGAAGAGAGCTTGAGTCCCATTAAAGGGGCACCAACATTAGCACCTGAAGCTGTAATCCCAACCATGGTTGCGGCACCAAGTGTGATTGCGTTTATGGATGTTAAAAGCAGGCTGTTCCAGTTGTTTCGTTGCTCTCCAATGTTATTATGCATCTCCACTCTGTCTGCAACGGCCTCCATGATCGAATAAAGCTTAGCCATCACCGCAGGATCGGCAGCATTAGTATCAAATCTTGTATTTTTGGGAGAGTTGAAATGCTTTTCATTAATGTGGGTAGTGGTGGTACTTGTGTAACCACTTCTCAACGCCAATTCGTCCACCAAGCCTCTGGTGGAGAGGTTGGGAAGAGAGAGATGACTTGGCCGGAGTGTTGGTACATTGATGGCCCCTCTGATCATCCCTCTCCGGCAACACGAGGAAAGAGAAGTGGATGAAGACATCACACTTGATGCTTGAAGGGTTGCCATGTTTACGTCCTCGAGTCTCTTTGAGGTTTTGTTGTGGCAATTAAATTAGTTGATCTATGAAAGGGTATTCAAAACTCGGAAGGATGATCAGGTTGTGATGATGGATTTATGCTTTGATGAGTGATTATATGTGGTTGTTTCATGGTCTATATATAGAGGAAGGGATTGGTGTACTTATTTCAGATAGAATAAGTCTCTATTGTTCAAGGTTTGAACTGAATGGGTTCGTGGCGTGGACTATTTCTTCTCTATGGGTTTGTGATCCCATGGCCCATCTCACCCTTTATTTTGGCTGCTTTGGAATTTGGGGCTTGAGCAATTCTACAATATTGACATTCGGAATTCAACACACCATTTAACAAATCAATCTTGAAACGGCCAACCAAGCAAAGACGTTGACAACTCAACTGTCGTTATTATTATTGTTTCTTTTTTTGGGAGTTAACTTTCTACAGTACACTTAGGGAGACCGAAACATTTTATCTTTTGAATTGAAGTGAGGAAATCACGGCGTTGGTGGTTGTATGGAGAGCCCGAGCCCTCTATCTTTGTTGATTACGGGAAAAAATTGAGGAGGGCTGAATGAGAAGAGGAATGAACAAACTTTTTCGTGTGTGGTTAAAAGGAAGAGAAAATAGAGAGGAAGTAAGGAGGGATGAAACGTTTCATCTCTCATTTTTTTGTATTTTTCTATTCGCCCAATATTGGGAGGAAGATGAGAGAGAAAAAAGTAATAATTAACACTAATATGGATTTTTCTTTTCTAACATTCCTAAAAATTTGAGATAGATATAGAATTTTTAGATTTTTAAATAATTAGGGTATATTAGTAAAAAGAAAATAAAAATTATTTTTCCCTCATTCCAACCAATAAAAAAAAAAAATTTGTCACCACATCCATCCCTTTCTACTTTTTATTGTTCATTCCATTCAACAAAAAAAAAAAAAAAAAAAAAAAAGTGAAAAAGACACATTCTTTTCCCTAAGGATGCCTCATCCATCCCTTTTCTTTTCCCTTCCTTCCATTTTTCCATCCCTCTAACCAAACGGAACATTAAGATTAAAAAAGTAATAATTACCACTAAATAAACCGGGCCTGGCATAGAATTGCTGGCATCTGTCTCCAATTATTTTATTTTTTTTTCTTTTTATATTATTACCTATAGTTTTTATCAAAATTTTAAAAATGTCCCCACTCAAGTTGTAAAAATACCTCACTTCATATTCTTGCCCCACTGATTTTTTTTTTTTTTTAATTCAAAAGATAATTATCTTTCTTTTTCACTCTATACACCCCCACATTTATGAAAATTGATTCTCTCACACACTCTTATATTCTTACTCAATTTTTGAAAATATCCACAATATATATTTATATTCTTGCAGCCATTGATATTTTTAAGTCCAAAAGAAAGTAAAGTAAATCGGTTCTTTTGTTTCTTCATTTTTAATTGTCTAATGCACATTCATGATATTCTAGAAAGCATGAATATGCGTGGGACACAGCCTGACATATGTTATACAAGTCACACAAATTAAATTTTTATATTTATTATTTTATTTTATAAATTTGTCTTCAATATTTTCCTTTAAATATTGTTATGTTGAAAAAAAGAAGAGGGGTGGAAGGAAAATAAGAAGGAAGGAACAAATTTCCTTCGTTCTGTAGAAATGGTACAAGGAAAGAAATGATAATGGGAATGATGACTCATCCTTCCTCCTTCACAAACTTTCATTTGCTCAAATATGGGCAGAAGATAAGAGAGAAGACAAGTGAGCCTATTATAGAAGTTTTAAATTACTACATCACCCTTCATAATTATTTAATAAATCTCATAAATAAAGTAAATGATGGTTTTAATGGAAAAAACAACTTAAAAATTTATCTTAATGGAAAAAATAACTTAAAAATTTATCTTTTCTTTCGATCAAATTAAATTGTCAGTTTTTTTCATTTTTTTTCATCTAACCGAACAAAAAGAGGAAAACATTTAATTTCTTTTTTGTCTCCATCATATTTGCTTCTCTTTCTTCTATTTAATTTTTTTCCTTCTTATTGAAAGTGGTGTTTACACCCTATTTTTCCACTTTCTAGTAGGAGATTACCCTGGTCGATTTCAATGGAAAGATACTACCATATTCCAGTGGAAAGTCTTGGGACACATGGCAGCCAAGGAAGCAAGTGGTTACAAGTGGTTACATGCAAAGTCATGGGACACATGGCAGCCTAGGAAGTGAGTGGTTATAAGTGGTTATATGCAAAGTCATGGGACACATGGCAGCCTAGAAAGTGAGCGGTTATAAGCGGTTACATGCAAAGTCATGGGACACATAGCAACCTAGGAAGCTGGTCGATTCCAATGGAAAGTTACTACGACATTCCAGTAGAAAGTCTTGGGACACATGGCAGCCAAGGAAGCAAGCGGTTATATACAAAGTCATGGGACACATGGCAGCCTAGCAAGTAAGTGGTTACATGCAAAGTCATGGGACACATAGCAGCCTAAGAAGCTGGTCGGTCCAATGGAAAGGTACTATGACGTTCCAGTGGAAAGTCTTGGGACACATGGCAACTAAAGAAGCAAGCGGTTACAAGCGGTTATATGCAAAGTCATGGGACACATGGAAGCTTAGGAAGCAAGTGGTTACATGCAAGCTATTATTACTAAACTCTATAAACTCTATTATATTGTAACTTAGAAACGGCTCAACGCCAAAGACGCATTTCAATACAACTTTACTTCTCATTGCAATGCACTTTCAATATGATTAGTTTCAGTCCTGCACTATACTTTTCATTAGATAATCTTACTTTTCAGTTAATTACTTTCTCAAGTAGCGCAGTTCTTCCTAGCCAGTTAACAATCCCGAAGTCCTTTATCAAAGGCAAAAAGAACCCAAAGGTGGTCATTCCAGACCTCTTCATAATCGTCTGGTCCCGCAGTCTTCCTTCTGGAATATTGTTTGGATCTATCTTTGGAACTACTGCAGTTCCTGGCACGCCCATCCAGTTCCATCGGAACCAGCACCCACTTTTTTCAGGCCAAACATAGTGGCACGCCCGGTGGGACAACCGGGAAAAGATATTTCTAATGATGTATCTGAGCTTTGTTCATGAAGAGTATAACCAAAGGAGGGCCGAAAAATGTGAAGTGTACTTCCTAAAGATGGCACACGAAAGTGAAAAATGCTATCAACGTGAACAATATTTCCGTGCTATGTCGCAGGTGCAGACAGTGTAGATGTCATATGCACAATCGATGTCTATTCCAGTGGAACAACATGTATAGAATCCTGTGGTAATTCCTCAACAGGTTTGTCATGATGTTTTTACTAACAATTGGCATCAATTTGGGTCTTCTTAGGGTACGGCTCAGGCTAGTCAATCAGGTAATCAGCTGTACTTTCCACCCAATACTACTCAACAATCAGCCGTTCCAGTGAATAGGCCAAGTACGTTTGTTGAGAGGGAGTCCTTATTATCAGCCTGTGCATTCCATGCCACAGACACAGACGACGCAGATACCATATGCCCAATCGATGTCTATTCTAATGGAACATCATGTGCAGAATTCAGCTTATGTGACTATGCCTCAACAGGTTTGCCATGAAATGTTTTTTAAACAATTTGCATCAATTTGGGTCTTCTCAGGGTACGGCTCAGGCTAGTCAATCAGGTAATCAGCCATACTTTCCACCCAATACTACTCAACAATCAGCCGTTCCGATGAACAGGCCAAGTACGTTTGTTGAGGGTAGTCATTTTCATCAACCTGTGCATACCATGCCTCAGGCACAAACAGTGCAGGTGCCACCTGTACAATCAATGTCCATTCCAGTGACCCAGCAAGTGCAGAATTCAGCTTATGTAACTATGCCTCAATAGGTTTGTCATGAAGTTTTTTCGATGAACAGCCCAAGTACGTTTATTGAGGGTAGTCATTTTCATCAACCTATGCATATCATGCCTCAGGCACAGACAGTGCAAGTGCCACCTGTACAATCAATGTCCATTCCAGTGACCCAGCAAGTACAGAATTCAGCTTATGTAACTATGCCTCAATAGGTTTGTCATGAAGTTTTTTCTAACAATTTGTATCAATTTGGGTCTTCTCAGGGTATAACTCAGGCAGGTCAATTGGGGAATCAGTCGTATTTTCCACCCAATGTTGGCTAACAGAATGTTCAGCCACCTCCTACTATTCTTCAAAGACCACCTCAAATTTTTCATGTGGCAGTTGGGGGGCAGAACGTACCAAGGGAGCTTCCTGAAGAAGGAGGTAATAGAGATCGCTTGAGGAATAACCCAGACCCAAACCCAATTCCAGTGGTGTTTGGGGGGCATCCAATGGCCTATTTACCCAAAGGTTGGCCAGAAACTATAAATTCATTACCCCAACCTAAGGTGCAGAACCCTTTAGCAACAACGAAGTCAATTCCACCACCACTTCCATCGCAGATGCAGGTTCCACCTAAGGTACATAATCCTTCAGCAACAGTGAAGTCGATTCCACCGCCACTTCCATTGCAAAAGCAGGTTCCACCTAAGGTGCAGAACCCTTCAGCAATAATGAAATCAATTCCACTAGCAATACCTCAATCACTTCCATTGCAGATGCAGGTTCCACCTAAGGTGCAAAACCCTTCAGCAACAGGGAAGTCGATTCCACTGGCAGTAGCTCAACCACTTCCATCGCAGGTGTATGTTCCAACTGAGGTGCAAAACTTTCCACCAGCTGTAGCTTAACTACTTCCATTGCAAGTGCAGGTTCCACTTAAGGTGCAGAACCCTCCACCAACAACAGTCCAGAAAGTTCAATTTTAGGTCCAACAGAATGTTCCACTTTTGAACATTCAGCAACCTACAAACACACCACCAAGGCCACTTATGGCTTTCGAAATTGAACGCCCTCCAAGGAAACCTCCTGATCAAGGAGTAAATCCAATCCGCCGAAGGAGTATTCTTTTAGCAGACCCAAACCCATTTCCATTGGTGTTTGGGGGGCATCCAATGGCCAACATACCCAAAGGTTGGCCAAAAAATACAAGCAAACTTGCTGACTTCTCCCAGCAAAACTATGGCTTGGTTATGAGAAAGGTTGACAAACCTTTCCATAGAAGCCGTTATCACTTCTTCCATTGGAAGAAGATTTCCACAGCCAGATTATCCTTCAGAAACGGCACAAGCTTCTCAATCGTTGTATATTCTTCCATTTGAAGAATATAACGGTCATAGTATTTTTCTTCCAATTTTGGAAAAAAAAATGCTACTATTTTATTTGTCCCAAATTCACATCTGGTGAATTTTGGGGGGCAAAACTTGGCCATTCAACTATGTATTTGGCCTGAAGATGTACAAATTCGTCCTCCTCCTAAACCTCCAGACCCCGGGGGGCAACGAAATTGGGCGTGAGGCTTCAAATCTTCGTTTTAGTTAAATAAAGCTGCTTAAAGTTTTCAGCCTAAGGGTACATTCTGGCTGAAAAGTTTTAGTTATTTCAATTAGAATATCACATAGCAAATTCTCACTCACATCTAAAATTTGATATGCCTTACAATTCTTCAAGGAATATAAGGCACATCAAATTTGGGGGGCAATGTTTACACCCTTATTTTCCACTTTCCCGTAGGAGATTACCCTGGTCGATTTCAATGGAAAGATACTACCATATTCCAGTGGAAAGTCTTGGGACACATGGTAGCTAAGGAAGCAAGCGGTTACAAATGGTTACATACAAAGTCATGGGACACATAGCAGCCTAGGAAGTAAGTGGTTACAAGTGGTTATATGCAAAGTCATGGGACACATAGCAATCTAGAAAGTGAGAAGTTACAAGCAGTTACATGCAAAGTCATGGGACACATGGAAGCCTAGGAAGCTGGTCGATTCCAATGGAAAGTTACTACGACATTCCAGTGGAAAGTCTTGGGACACATGGCAGCCAAGGAAGCAAGCAGTTACATACAAAGTCATGGGACACATGGCAGCCTAGCAAGTAAGTGGTTACATGCAAAGTCATGGGACACATCCTAGGAAGTGGCCGGTTACAAGCGATTACATGCAAAGTCATGGGACACATGGCAGCCTAAGAAACTGGTTGGTCCAATGGAAAGGTACTACGACGTTCTAGTAGAAAATCTTGGGACACATGGCAATTAAAGAAGCAAGCGGTTATATGCTAAGTCATGGGACACATGGAAGCTTAGGAAGCAAGCGGTTACATGCAAACTACTATTACTAAACTCTATAAATAGGGCATGATATTGTAACTTAGAAATGGCTCAACGCTAAAAACGCATTTCAATACAACTTTACTTCTCATTGCAATGCACTTTCAATATGATTAGTTTCAATCCTGCACTTTACTTTTCATTAGATAATCTTACTTTTCAATTAATTACTTTCTCAAGTAGCTCAGTTCTTCCTAGCTAGTTAACAATCCCGAAGTCCATTATCAAAGGCAAAAAGAACCCAGAGGTGGTCATTCCAGACCTCTTCACAATCGCTTGGTCCCGTAGTCTTCCTTCTGGAATATTGTTTGGATCTCTCTTTGGAACTACTGCAGTTCCTAGCACGCCCATCCGGTTCCATCGGAACTAGCACCCGCTTTTTTCAAGCCAAACACGTGGCACAGAATTTTTTTTGAATTTGTCGTTGCAAATAATGACCTTGAAGTCCTTGATGGTTATGTGGTCTATTTTAGGACAACTTGCATCATTTGCATAACCTAGGTTAGTATGTATTATCTAAATGGGACTACATGGCCATGCAACATTATTTTTTTATACTAAATTGTGTTATAGGATTTGATTTTATTTATCTTTAACGAAAGCATAACACAAACAGATTTTGACTCACCTGACACCTTGGAAATTCTTCTTTTTTCTTTATATATTTATTTATTATCACGTAAATACTTGCATCTCCTCTTCGTTGATGTGAGCTTTAGACTATTGGGCTGTAGATCATAACACTGGCCCACTATATGTGATAATTGTGAAATATTCATTTCAATTGAATTTTTACTATATGTTTTTTAATCCTAATTGTTACTCTATGTTTAGTACACACCTTTGAGAGGTCTTTTAAAGTGAAGTGAGCATATCAGTCACTCATTTTCCTTTCCCTTGTGTTATTCCATAATAAGCAAAATTATTCACGTGGAACTTTCTATAATTTTCTTTTTCTTGCCTGTATAATCAATAATATGGATTTTGGAAATACATAAGTTTAAAGAACCAAAAGATATCATCAAGTCTTCTTTACAAATCAGTATATATATATATACTGATTTGGAAAGAAGACTTGATGATATCTTTTGGTTCTTATATATATATATATATATATATATATATAATTATACATTACGTAAAAGACAAAATAAGGATCATAAAAATGTTACCAATGTATAATAATGGTCCTCCTTGCCCTAACTGGTTTAGTCAGTTTAGTTAGTGTTTGTATGTTGATGTTTTCTAGCCTTGGCTTGTTGTCTTGTTTCCTCTTGGTCAAGCTTAAAAAAAAAAAAAAAAAATTGCAAGATTCCTATTTAATAATTGGGGTAAATTACACTTAGACTCCTTGAAGTTAAGTCATTTTTCACCTAAATGAAGATTCTGATTTTAATTTTCACTTATATTTGAAAGAGTGATTTCATAGTTCACTTACACCCCAAATGTCAATTTGGGGTGTAAGTGAAATACTTTTTAGGTATAAAATGATTATTCTACCCTTTTGACCATTTGTTGACTTAAAAAAATATATATATTTCATTTTTTATGACAAAAATACCCCTCAATTTTTTCATGACAAAAATACCCCAATGACCTTACAAGCGACAACTATTTGTATTCAACATATAACTATTGCTTTTTTTTGTTTCGACAATGACGTTATCTATTATAATTGCTTAATTAAGAAAGTGTCGTATTTATTTCTTAATTGCTTGCATGTCTTATTTCTTTCTTAATTGGTTGCATATTAGAATATAGAAGAGTTGTTATAATATTAGCATTCTTGTATCTTGCACAATCCCCCCCCCCCCCCCTTTTTTTTTTTTTGAAAAAAAACCTTGTTACAATCCTGTAATACAATTGGCTAACAAATTTTTATTTAAATTGAAAACCTGTAAAACAATTGTATATATATTTTTTTAAACCTCTAAAATCATACATGTTACAGTCCAATTTTTAAAACCTATTAAAGGATTTCAAATTTTTAAAACCTGTTACCACAATTGATAAGCCAAAATATGTGCTATGTCTGTAATCCAATTTTTAAAACCTGCTGCAACAACTCAGAGTCTCAAAATATATTAATACATTCCCAATTTAAAGTCTCAAAATACATAAATAATTCCCAACTTAAAGTCTCAAAATATATCAATACATTCCCAACTTAAAGTCTCAAAATATCATAAATACCAAATACCAAACTTAAAGTACTAAATAACTGCAACAAATAGAAAATGCCATCAAATTCATTACATCTTCAGTTGGGACTTCTAATTCATATTCTAATCAAAATATGTGTTGTGTGTGTGAAAGTTAGCTCATATAACCAATTAATTGGTGTTAGCACTGTACAAAAAATCCCATCTCAATGGTGTTTATAGGTCCTACTTCCTAGTGCAACATGAAGCCTAAAATGAAACCAAAAATATTTATTATAATACTGTTATATACCTGAGAGCTTTGTGTTTTGTTGTTATTATGATCAATAAATGAATTACATACCTAAGAGTCTTGTGTTGACGTGCCTTCAGTTGCTCTTATTACTACTGCCCTACCTGAAGCCTAAAGTGAAAACAAAAACATAAATAACAATGCGTTAGAAATCTGAAAAATAAAAATAAAAATAAAAGTAATAATTGAAATAAAGAAATCTTTATTCAATGAATTTAATACCTCAAAGCCTTGTATTGCTGTTGTTGCTACTCTAATCCTTTTTTTATCTTTTTGATGGACGTCTTCTGTGATACCCCTCAAATCCAAGACACGGGTTGATCAGGCCCAGGTCCGAACCCGAGGGAATATCAAATAATTAAAGTATTTTAAATTAACACAGATTACAAAACTGGATATGAAATAAACAATTCATTGCTGGAAGAAATCTAAAATAGAATTCTTTAAAAATTAAATACTTAAAATCCAAAACCTCCAATAGTTAAACAACTCGAAAATCCATCCATTGGACCCCTAATACCAAAAATCCAAACTGAAATATATAAATAGCTTAAAGAACATCCAAAATGAAAACCATGGAGAGAAGTCCTACGTCGTCGGAAGAGTGAGTAGAAATCTCTGCTCAGCACGATCAGGTCTAAGTTTGAAACTGACGAATACCTGAAAAATAGAAGTGGGTCAGGCCCACGAACAAGTTCTATCCTACTACAATCCAAGCAGATACTCAATATGCATATACATTCTAACCAACTCAACAATATCTATATAAGTTGTATATATATATATATATATATATATATATATATATATATATATATATCCACACAACGAGACTCTCACTAGACTATGCAGGGGTTCTCAACCTGAGTAGAAGTCAACATGCAAAGAGCACCTGAGTGGGCATGAGTACCTAAGCCTAACAGAGTATACCTCAACCTAGCATATTCAGCTACGCATCCTACTGCATATATACTCCTTAACCGAAGACTCTGAGACTAAGGCTCATATCGCGGTACCATAAAAATATATTTAAAGTCTATCCTATCCATCCAAAGTAAGTCCAATTAGTCATTCAGCTTGTGCAGCTTCTTTGACTCAGCATAAATAGCAAGTAATCCAATTAGTCATTCAGCTTGTGCAGCTTATTTGACTTAACTATAAGTAGGATTTTATTTTTGTATAATCCGTTCCCTTATTCCAACATAGGTATGACTTAGTAATTTGAGCTAATCCAAACCTAGACATGCCACCGTCCCATACCGGTGCATGCAATCCATCATCCAACAGTTGACAATACAAATATATATGTAAAAATACTACTATTCCAGGAAGTCCACAATTGATAATAATATATTAAGTATAGGCATCAATGGTTCCATATTAAGCATGATAAAATTCTATAAATTAACAGGCTTACACATACTACTTCCCAAGATCCAATAATTGATGATTTATAACATGCATGCAAACATCAATGAATCCTTACTAGGCATGATAGAGCAGAGTATATATACGAACATACTGATTTAGGTCTACTCCAACAAACTCCCATAATTGACAAAACAACTAGTATATGCAACTGTCAATTTATCCACAACAAGCAAAATTAGAGATTTGTAAACTTGCATGCTTATATAAGATTACTGAACCATGATAACTGTATTCACATTATTGAGAATTTCCATTTGAAGATTTAGCAATTTAACACCTTTTACATTCAAAAACTGTAAACTAATTTAATTAAACATTACCTATTGTTCAAGTATAAACCCCAACTGGTTTATTTTGCATTAGTTTGCTCTCTGAAGTTTTAATAGGCCTTTGGAACATCACTAAACACTCCAATACAGCTTCAACCAGAACCTGAAAATCCCAAATAGCCTCATAGCCTAAACAGTCATCGAAAAACCCAAAAAAATGGAAAATTAGAGGGAGCCGCCTCCCTTAAGCTTGGAGCCGGCTCCCCACCATGGGGAGCCGCCCCCATGGACCCTAGAGCCGGCTCCCCTCCAACGGGTGCCGGTTCTCCTTCTATTCTTCGTCTCTATCAACTCCGGCGGTTCTCCAACTGTCTGTCCTCCATTCCTAAGACATCTAGATGTGTAAATTAAGTCCCTTGTGTTCTAGAAACCATTAAACCCTTTATTTTTTAATCGACAATAATTAAAAACCCGAACTATGCAATAAGGATTCAAACCGAGCAACTTACAGTACATCAACGTTCATGGCTTAAACAAATCAACCATGAAACTCAGACTTATTTTAAAGTTTCCCCAACGTGTTCCAGAGTTAGTTCAGTTCCTTATTCAATAATTCAATGTTCGTTTAAAATCATGAATTAAGCAAGAAAAATTCAAACAATTAAGTTTACGATACAGGAAACACATACTGACTTAAATACATAAGACATGCAAAACAGATTAATGTTTATATTCCTTTACTCCTGAAGTTGTGTTAAAAATGCAAAAAGCACGAGCCAAAGGAAAAGAGTAAGGATTAGAGCTTGCCTTTAGCCTTGCACTGTCACCTTCCTAAATTCTCCGGTAATTCCTATTGTAATCCCTTCTCTGTTCTCTCTCTGCCTCCACAGTCGTGAATAGGGTTCTAAAACCCTAGGTAGAACTGTAATACATGTATTTATAGGCCCATAAGTTTACCCTAATTCTAGTTCTAATACTAGACGGGAAAAGTAGGTCGGCTACAGGGTGAAGAAAAATAACCAAAACCCTAACTAAATTCCACTTACGTATTACACCAATTAAACCATTAATTAATTCACTAAAAACTAAAATACAATTAATCAATTAATTTAAATAAGTCACTTAAATCAAATAATCCAAATAATGCAAATAGATGCAAATAAATCAAATAATAACAATTAATGCAAATAACCAAGGAAATACTCAAATAACCACATAAATGCAAAAATTACAATAAAACCTCAAAATAAACTACCGAGACTATCATTTTAAAATTAGGGATATTAAATCTTCTTCCTCCTACTTTTGGGCCTACTGTTACTGATGATGATGATGGGCCTACTGTTGCTGCTCTTGCCTCTTTTGTAGTAGGAGCCTTTTGACATCCCCTATTGTTGTGTCCAAAATGTCCACATACACTGCACTGCACAACAGTTGACATTTTCCTTGCTTCTGCTTCACCATCCTCCTTCTTCTTTGACACTCTTGGTCTGCCACAGCTTTTGAACTCTGGTTGATCCAATTCAGGTTTGTCAACCTCAGTCCACATACTTGCGTGGTGCATGGGGTGGATGAAAGAAGCGTAAGTCTTTGTATATGTATCCTTGTTGTAGAAATATGAACATAACTTCTCTATATCTACCCTTGTGGTAGTAATGGCTGCACATGCATGCATACAAGGAACTCTTCTCACCTGCCATTCCCTACAACAACAAGTCATCTTCCCAAGCATAACAATATAACTCTTCTGTTTTGCATTATCAGTTACCTCATACACACCTTCAGCGGACCATGTCAGTTCACATGTACCAGCTTTGGATATATTGGAGTTCAATCTTCTCTTCATTTTTGGCACTACTGTGGTTGTCCAATCTGCTGTCCTTTGAAACCTTTTGTTGAATTTGGACATCAGCTTTGTTCGTATACATTCAAAAACAACAGTGATTGGTTTTGCTCTAACATTCCCAGGCCAATAATTAAATGACTCCACGTGATTATTGGTGACATAGTCACAGTTCACCCTATCATCAAATTTGTGTCTTGTCTATGTCTCCAAATGATGTTTCATCAACCAATTTGAGGCATCCTGACTAATTGACTCAATCTACCTCATTGCAATTTTGAATCTTCTTCATTATATGCATTTACAGCTTCCCAGAATAATTTACACTACCGTGACATGCATAAATTATGATTTATATCTATTGTGGAAACAAGACCTCATTGCCATGCATATATATATATATATATATATATATATATATATATATATATTAAATTGTGTTATGGAATTTGATTTTATTTATTTATCCGGTAAGCATAACATACACTTATTTTGACTCACTTGACACTCTTGGAATTTTTTTTTTCTTTTCAATTAAGTATTCACGCACACTTTTTTATATTATTTAATTTCTTAAGACTTCAACTTTAGAAGTAAAAATTAACACCACGCTCCAGCCCAATGATAATAATGAAATAAGCATTTCAATTAATTTATACGGTCAATCTTTTCATTTTTGGATGTCCAAAATAAATGTTATGTTTAAAAAGTTAAAATATTATTATTATTATTATTTTCTTTTTTAATAAATTATTAATTTAACCTTCTTGCTATGTGGACCTAATGCAAATAATTTGGCAATTCATTACAAGACTTGTCTACTCACTAGTGAGTATCTTATCTCTACTTACCGCCGATATAGTTCAATCACAAATGTAAAAATAGTCCCTAAATACAAAATCTGGAAAGTAATAAATAAGAAAATCAGTGAAGGTGACTGAATTTATTCCAAAAAAAGATATTGTCATTATTTATCACTTTCCAAATTTTGTATTTATATATTTGTGATTAGACCACATCAACGGTTACTAGAAATGATCTATTTACCATCAGAAACGGAGGCATTAACAACAATTTTTATTGTTTTATTTAGTAATATACTCTATTAATATACATTTTTGATGTATAAACTAACAAAATTACACTACCGCCCCTACTAAAGTTATAAAAAGTTACACTATCACCCCCTCTCACACAATTTTCTTGTTCGTCCCTGCTTATTAGTGAATATGCAAGTTTTGTCCATAAAAAAATATTAAAATTCATCATCTTAAAAAGTTAGATTCCGAACATCTAATTTAAGACGGAGTAAGTATATATAAATATATAATTCCATAATAAACATGAAGTGTGCATATGGGGCACTCATTTTCCTTTTCCTTGTCTTATTCCATTATAAGTATATTAAATTATTCATTTTTAGTATATGAAATATTTCTTATATTTATTTTTTTGCTAGGCCCCACTTTGACTTGGTCATTTTGCAGACCATTTTCTGTCTTTCTCTCTCGTCAATTTCTCTTCTCTCCCTCTGTAATTTTTTTTTTCTTTTTTTTTTTCATCATTCAAAGCTTGATTTCTTCCACACCAATTGGAATTTGATAGCACTTCCTTTAGCAAAGTTGTAGAGCTCGTCGTGGGCTTCGTATTGATCGGAGCAATTTTCAGTTTGGAGCACTTGGGATTTCGAATTTCTTGGGTTTAAATTTGTGGATTTTGGGGCTTTCTACAATTAAGAGGTAGGGGTGTTCTAATTTGCAATCTCTTAGATTTTTTGTGAATTAATTCCCTATAATTGAAGTATAACATGCTAGATTGTAAATTTTTCTTGAGAATTTGTTAGGATGCTAGATATATAATATGTATCTCTATGTGTGTTATGTGTAAATAATATATGTGTGTATGATTTGTTGATTAGATATGGAAAACATGCCTTTGTGATTATGTCCTTGTTTAATATGTGTAATTGTCAAAATTTTGTTGACCTAAAGCATGCTATAAATTCATGAGAAAATTCTTCTTTAGTATGAAATGTTGTTATGGTTTGATGATGTGAAAATTATGGTAAATTGTGAAGTATGAAGCATTCATGGATCCATTGAGAAAGAAAAGGGGGAAAAATATTTTTTTTAAAACCAATGGAATTGTTTATGGGAAGCATTTTCGAAAGTGTTTATAAAAAATCGGACGCCTAAGAGGCATCTAGTGGTCCGTAGTGTTAATGTGATCTAGAGGGGAACTAGAGAGAGATTCTAGTGTGGTTGAGCTACCTAGGCCCAGATGACGCCATGGAGGTACCATGTGGTCGGGGAAAGCTAGCCAATCCTCCCTTTGTGACGCCTTGGAGATGCCTTGGGTCGGATCGCACTAACGGTTTGGAAGTTGAAACGGTTTTGTTTCAGAAATGGGGAGTGACATTGCATGGCATGGCATTGCATTGGCATACATTGTATATTTAGTGGTTATATGACTTGCGTATATATTTGTTGATTATTATCGTTACTTTACTTGTTTTCCCTGAGGCATGATCCCATTTACTTCTACTCTATTCCTTATGTAGATTTACGGGGTCATAAGAGGTGCGTCTTAGACACTTCCTACTGAGTTTTATGCTCACCCTATTATTTTAACATTTTTCAGGTTTGGGAAAAGAAGGGACGGACGACAACCCATCGTAAATTAAGACTGGACTAGAACTCTTATTTTGTTGTCTTTTGTATAGAAACATGATCATGTACCTTTTAAAAAAATTAAGTGTAAATTGTATAGTATTGTAATGGTAGAATTTGTATAAATAAATATATTTCATGGACTGTAACTTAATTAAAGTGATTCCTTGTTTGAATGAGATAGAAAAACGGGACATTTTATATGTATGTGTTGATTTTAGGGATGTTGTATATTATTGCATTGTGCGTTGGGACATGATACATTAGTTTTGAGGCCCAGTGAGGCCATTGCATTTTAATGTATTTCAACAGGTTGTAAAGGGACTTTTTCTGCCGAGGTCATGCCGAAATTTTATATATTTTATTATTATTATTATTATTATTATTATTATTATTATTATTATTTATAAACCCTGGGATGACACATATATTATGTATTGACATAGGAAAGGACGGTAACGTCTTTAGTTGACCTCGGGTTCGGGTAAGGACCCGATTAGTGATTCGGACCCTCGGATTGGAATCGTTACAGTATGCTTATTTATTTTTAGTATGCTTAAGCATGAAGTGTGCATATGGGGCACTCATGAAGTGTGAATAAGGGTTGCATAATTGCATTCTTAGGTGACTTGCACGTTTTTAGTTTTCCTCATTTGTGGCATTGTACGGCATACATATAACATAAAGTTGATTGATTTTGTCCAAGTTTTCCTCATTGATGGCATTGTATAACATACATATAACATAAAGTTGATTGATTTTGTCCAGCAATGCTCAATAATACAATACGTAATAAAGTAAACAAAAGTAAAATAAAATAAATTTTTACTGAAAATATATAACAATCATTAACTAACTAATCAGAAAGTAACGTTAACTTGTTGGGTTATACAGCCTTCACTTTTTCAAAAGAGAAGTTGAGTGTTTTAAGCCTCTGAAAAAACAAAATGAGTGTACAAAACAACGTAAGAACAATTTCACTACGCATGTGAACATATATTGCCTAAATTGTTATATATTGTATTTTTGAACTACTTAGATTGATGATGATGCATGGTTGATTAACAAGGAGGAAACAATACATTGAGTAGTAGAACACTATAATTACACATTTGTTTACTTGATAACTGATAGAGAAAAATAAACCTAACCTACCTTGAAAGATAACGTGGTTCAACAGGGTAAGGATAACCTTGACACAATTTGAGGAAGTCAAAGGAGTAAATCATATCCCCGACAAATCTGGCAACAAACGGATCTCTTCTAATCTCACACAAGCGGATGATAAGGGAGACCTTAACCATCGATATCAACGGGACCAATTTGATTCCAATCGACAGTTATAAATAGGGCACCAAGCCATTAAAGAAGGTACGGGAAAAAACCCCTGAACAGAAATTACATAATTATTATGTGATACGATTACAAATACTAACTTGATCGTCGGAGGGTCCTTGGCTGGCACCCTACCAGTGCCATTAAAGGTGACGTCCCTTTGTTTTACAGGTAAACGCCGTCGTTCCAAGTCGCGAGAATTTTCGCATCAACAGTTGACGCCATCTGTGGGAACGATTAGTTCTCTGAAGAAATAATAATCCTGACGCGACTTGGCTCGGACGACAAGACGAAAGTTTCTGATCATGGAAACCATCCCAAAGTCATCAATTGACAACGGGTTTCTATGTTCTTATATAAGGACGGGCCTCTACATCATGATTACCTGTCTATTATATTGGGGGCAAAACGGTAGGTTGCATAATGCCACCCAGTGTACGATGACAATAATCAAAATTTGGCACGTCGACCCAGGCAGTCCAATATGGTGTTTTCCATCTAGCGATGCTGGGTCCCCTCACTAATGAGGTTTGGTCGTCTAAGATCAAACTCTATCTCATATCTGGCAGAAGCCAACTACTAAGGCCTGATCGTTGAAGACTAAGGCCTGGTCCTTTTAGCACCTACATAAATAAGTAGGTCTCTACCCATCAAGAAGATCACTACCAACAAGGAGGTCTCTACCTACTAGTAAAGCCTCTACCATTGAGGATGTCTCTAGCAACGGAGTCTCATTACTCCGTCCGTTCGAGCAATCAAGGTGGCCTTCTTTACCTAAGAATGTGTCGAGGCTTTCAGGTCCAATGTCCCTCAAGATCCCATGTCCAATGCGGTCTGTATTCTCAAGGAGGTCCCTAAGTTAAGGGTGATCATTGGACCCAACGAGGTACTGGCTACCAGACCATTATCTGTCAGCCGTTAGGTACCATGCCCCCATCCACCAGGCATCAAGCTAATCGCTAGACACCAAGCCTCCACCTACCAGACGACAATCGTTAC